CCCCTGATCTTTAGCTGTTCCCTTCGTCTGGCAACTCTGCGCATGCGTACATCGGGAACAGGCTCCAGATGTTCTTCTGCCTCACTGATCTCTGACTCTAAAGGCAGCTGATAACTGGCATACGGCTCTGGCCCCCTCTCTGCCTCCGACACAGAGCCCTCCTCAGAGCCTTCCCCTGACTCCAGGACTGACCCAGGTTCCTCCCCAACCTCCTCACTGTCCGAACCTTCTGCGGGATGCGGGTAGCATGTGAAACCTCCCCCTCCCTAGTCCGGGGGAAAAAATCTCTCTCCACGGGACCAGTCCCTGGTGCCTGAAAATTTGGGGGCTGCTGCTGTCAAGAATTATGGAGCAGTATATAAATCTAAGTGCTATTGCTATTGCTGGTTGTAAAAAGTAGATTGGGGGTATTTAGTTCTTGCTTGCAAAAGCAAGTTATACCACTCCTGAGCTCCTCCCACCTTCCCCACCTGCCTGCCCATCCTTTTCTCTTACCGGCTGATTCCACCAGTGCTAGGCTCTTCATCTTGGTGCTGTGTAACACATCCTGAAGATCGCGGTACCTACAGTTCAGTGTGATATAACGTACGTCACGCACCATGATGTCCTCCACGCGAACGTTGTACTTCCTGAAAATGCAAACAAGCAGGCTGGATTTACACCATTAACATTGATTTAACCTACTCTCTGGATATGCCGCATGCATTAAAGTACAGGTAGTCTCCGACTTATGACCGTAATGGCGTTTCTGTTGCTAAGTGAGACGGTTGTTAAGGGAGTTTTGCCCCACTTTCTTGTCACTGCTCTTGTTCAATTAGTAACATGGTTGTTAAGTGAATCTGGCTTCCACAATGACATTTTGGTCACAAGGTCGGACACAGCAACGGTCGTAAATGTGAGTTGCCAAGCATCTGAATTTTGATCATGTGACCATGGGGATGATGTAATGGGTGTAAGTGTGGAAAACGGTCGTACGTCCCTTTGGACGGTCACTAAATGAATGGTTGTAAGTCGAGAACTACCTCTACAGTGAACAAAATCAGAAGGTTTTGAATTAGAATTTTTCAACACAATTGAAGTATACAATTAAAAAAAAGAATATTAAAAAAAAGAAAATAGAAATGAAAGAAAACATAGACTTAAGACTTCCACACTTCTTTCTGATAATTGCCATTGTTCTTATACATTTCTTTTTGACCCAAATTCTTCAAATCCATAGTCATCAATGCAGAGAATTATGATTATGATTCTTTTTGTCTTTCAACAAAAAGACAATATAATTGAAGTTGCTTTCTTACCATCCCATAAACCCATCTTATTTTACAACAATCCTACTTCTTCTTCCTTCCTTCCCTCCTTCCTTCTCTCCTTCTCTCCTTCCCTCCCTCCTTCCTTCTCTCCTTCTCTCCTTCCC